CCTTCCCTCTTCTCTGCCTGGATGGGGTGCTAGTCCACTGCAGATGAACCCCGGCAATTTTTTCAGGTTGTCCCAACAGTTTGCCCATAACTTCCTGACCAGGGTGAAGAGACGCGGCGTTAGAGTATAATGTAAGGCCCACGAACAGAACATAATGACCCCAGTCAGGGTTTGAGCCCCTTGACCACTTGATCCAAACTACATCACGCTAACTATTAGGCCATTACGTCTCTCATAAGAAGAGCCAACCTCCCAAGCAGACGCTTTTTTGAGATCGTCACGTAATCTTCCTCCCCCCACGTGAGGGAGGAAGATTGCGTGACGGGCCTAAAGAGCGTCTGCGTATGAGGCTAAAGAAGAACTAGAGGATGCAGAAAATATCCTGAAGGTCAGGAACTAATTATGCTGACACTATTTCAATGAATGATTATTACTGAGTGATTTACTTTTTCATTTTGTTTTGAAGGTGGCTGGACAAGTTAGGACTTGCAGCTCGGCTTAATCACGATGTTGTCATACGACAGACATTTGTGGCTGGAAATTATGCTTTACTAGATACTAATCTGGAGCCAAACCCAGTATGTACTTCGTTAACTTATAAAACTAGAGCTAGCAAATGAGTTACAAAAATTATATTGCCATTTTGTTAAACGAGAAAAGGCCTCAAGGGACTAGTTATTACACGTGGGTAGTCAAATGAAAACTTAAGCTACCATTATCAAGTGTTACATACAGCTGTAGCATTAGGTTCCGAACTGAGAAACTGATATTGCAACTGGAACGTACTGCAAAGTGTTGCTGATATTTCGTCTAGGACTACTGGCTTTCTTTGTTGTACAAGCGGCTTGTGGGAGTAAAAGTCTTGGATGTGAAAGGTGAAACAGAAGAGAACCGGACAACTCGAGTTTACGCCCATTGTTCAAGCAGGTATTGTACATGTATTGTATGTTTTGGTGGTTCTAAGGGAAGATACTCTTATCAAATACATTGCACTCTCTTAATAGAGCTTCAATTCAACCGAAAAAATATTACAATCCCACGTTGTTCGGTCCGGCTGGGACATAAGTCCATATGAGATGGTATATGGCCAACGAGGCGCATAGCGCCGAGTCGAGTTGGCTATAATCATCTCGTATCCAACAAGCACGAGTGGAATAATTGTTTTAAAAACACCCCCAAGAAATTTCGCGTACGCTTATCATATTTTTAGAGCATGGTATAATGGCTCATATAATTTATTTCTTTATTATTATAATAAATATAATAGCTCATATGACTCCAGATAAAGAAAAATACATCTAACTTTCTGAAAAGGTAATGACCATGCTAAAAGCTGAAAGCCGGTGTTTTGTTTAACTAGAAAGGGTTTTATTTTTTTACAATTGATTTACACATTTTATTTACAATACTAACATTACTTACAGTACAATAACAACATTGCTTACAAGGCTAAAACTACTTACAATACTGACATTGCCTGCTAATTAACAATACCACACTGCTCTTACAATATACCGTAACATACTTACGTGCAATTATACTTACTTTACTTGCGATGTTATCATTACTAAATATTAACGTACAATAGTATTTAAACAAAAATATATGAAATAAATCCACTGTCGTTATTTCTATGCATAAATTGCATGTCTACTTGTAAGGTAAATAAGTTGCATATCAATGTAATATTTCGCATGGTGTACATGTAGATGAAGTGTAACAATTGACGTAGTGGATGATAAAAGCCTTTGAACCTTTTTCAGACATTACCCAATGGGTTCTATCACGCTTCTTGTTCTTAATACTCACCCACGTGATCCAGTTGTCCTAAAACTCAGTGACGACCTCAAAGGAAAAGATGTTGATGAATACCTTTTAACTCCGGAGAACGGTGACCTCACGTCAAAGTAAGTACAATGATGTAAATGGAATTGAAACGCAACTCGCTGAACTCAGTTGCGTGAGATGTATTACTAGATTAGTTAAAGGAGCTACGTCACGCTTTCCGGATCTTGCCTGATTTTTTCCAACTTCGTCGTTTGTAATCCATGTTAATCTTCTCCATCGTTAACCATCCTTCTTTATTTGTGGTTTATTATTATCTCTTTGTCGTTTTCCTATCTTAGTAAACTGCTGTTTTCAGGTTTCCTTCAATTTAAAGGTAATTTTGTACGTGGCCAAAATAACTCAAAATACCGTGACTGAGCTCCTTTAATATAAAAGCAAGTGCATCATGTTTGCCATTTTTACTGACCATAAAATGTACCATCTGTTGAAAGTTGTCGGTCGAGTTCAAAGCTGATATTTGCATCTCACTATGACTGAGGTCAGTCCTAGGATCATATAAGAATCATTATGAATTATCCAGTTATTAACCTTCATTATTATATGGCAAGGTAGTCCTTAGGTTAATCCAAACTCCTGATTGGTTCTTTCTTGGTCGGGATTTTGCCGTACGGACCGTTGGTATAGAAACGGTCATCAGCCATGTATGTTTTTTTGTTTCGAAAGCTGAAAAATTCATTAGCAAACATGGCCGCCCGAATGCCATTATAATAAACTACTTACTAACCTGCAGTAGCGAGCCCGAGCCGTACTGTAGAACATTGACTTTCGGTTTGTTTTGTACGGACCTCTCGGCGCTCGGTCCGTACTGCCCCGACCTCACGCCCGATTCGTAAGAGGTTAAAGTAGCACTAGAGGTTCTAGTGAAGCATTAAATGAAATGTCCAAGGCTTCTAAAATAGCAGATTCTACTCGTATACTAATGCTAATACTACAATCTGATTGGCTGAGCCATCGTACACTATCAGCCATTAGTGTGTGATGACTTAACGTCGTCTATGAAATGGCGACGTTTTCTGGTTTTTCCGAATTTTCGGAGGAACGTTTAGAAACATATAGATAATAAAATTGCTAAAAAGACTCGAAAAAGGACCCTCACGAGTTGTTGACGTTAAATTCTCGAAATTGCTAAAGAAAATGATGCGCAAGTACTTATCTGCAAATTTTAAACGACAATTCAGTACGCGCGATTTTACATACTGGTAAACTGGAAGCCGTTTAATACAACGTAGAGAAATAAGTGGAAATTGTCATTTAATGGAAATGTCTGTTAGAATTCTACTAAAACAATTTGATTCTTCGTTCTCCATTTCTATGTGTTGATAGTTGATGAGGCCGAACGAATAATCTAATTGTTAATCAATGGCGTGCATCGCGTATCATACCAAACGTCTAGCGAGTTCTCTATTCACTGTCTATTGTATCACTTCCGCCGGCAAGCACTCTGAGAGATTTGGAGCACTGAAGAACCTTTAGAAACATGCCAAAAGATGGCTCATACTTAACGCTAAGTTGATAAGTTGATAATGTGAGGCAGCGTGGCCGAGTGGTTAGGGCGCCGGAATTGAAATCCAGAGGTCGCGGGTTCAAGTCCCCCTCTGATCATTATGCTGGAGTTGTTTCTCGGTAAACCCTCGTTTATCTCCGCGGACATGCTTGTAAATAACCAACTGGTCTACCTACCGTCAGTTGGGATTTTTTTTTTTTTACTTTCAACTTAAGTGGCATGGCTGTGAACCAGCTAGCTGTAGCTAAGCGCATCGACCACTATAAACATTCAACATTTTTTTCACATAATGTTCTATGGGCATGGTTTAGACACAGTGACTTGTGGTGTTTCTCATTTTATCGTCAAAACGAAATCAAGACCTAAATCCTTGTTTTTATAACAGGACAGTCAGACTGAATGGAAAAGTCCTCAAACTAGTGGATGACCGCACCCTCCCAGACCTCGTGCCGAAGAGTGTGCCGGGATACGATCCTCTTATTCTGCCACCTCTGACATTTGGGTTTTATGTCATCCCAGAAGCCTCTGCGAGTGCTTGTGGTTAGTCATAAAATCATCTCTTTACTTAAAGATGTATTTTCGAAACATAACTAATGAAGTCTTTTTGTGGAGTGAAATGCAAATGTCCCAATTTAAAAAATAATAGCGTAAAAGCATTGACCTTTTTTGTACGTTTTGGTAAAAAAAAAGAAATAAAGAAACAAAATGTCCAATTGTTAACGGCAGATAGGAATTTAACCCTGCTCTTTAGTGGCTTGAAAGACGCAGCTGTTTTATGTACATCATAGAAAACTGTGCATACTATTCTTTAATTGAATATATCTCCGCGTAAACAAGTCAGCATTAAAAATTATTTTCATTCATTTTTATCTAACGCTTTCTTTCAAGATGTCATTTAAACATAGTGTCGAAAAATTTCAACTAGCCCTTTCCCTAATTTTTACTTTCTCGTTTTACAGTTGTAGCTCTAATGAAGTCCGAAAACTACTTGATAAACTAGGAGTCAAGAAAGCGACAGGTGTAGATAATTTGCCATCCAAGATGCTTAAAAAATGGCGGCAGGTATTCTGGCACCATCTCTGGCATTCTTGTTCAATTAGTCTATTTCCTCTGGTATTGTTCCAACTGACTGGAAGCTAGCTAGAGTGACGCCAATTTTCAGAAAGGGCAAAAGACAAGACGTTTATAACTACCGGCCAATCTCGATTGTTCCTCCAATTTACGATCAATTTTACAAGTATCTTATGACAACGATCTTTTATCCAACTGTCATTCCGGCTTTAGACCACTTAATAGAACACTTACGTCCTTGCCTGAGGCTTCTAACAGTTGCTCTAGCTGTCAATATAGATGACAGTCTTATAAATAGTGTAATATTTATAGATTTAAAAAAGGCTTTCGACGTCATCATTGACCATAAGATTCTTAAAGCTCGAGTAAAGCTTTACTACGAATGTTCGTCGACGATATAAGCATCGGGATCGACGCCAATACTATCTGTCGTGGTCTAAACATGTTTATGAGATTGCTAAGGTTATCTCCTCTGGTATAGATTCACTTAAAAGGTTTAGGCCGTGCAAATGTGAAGATACAGCTATATTGCTATTATAGAGCTATTATTGCTGTTCTGTGTGGGACTACAAAATCGCCCAGTCTGATTACCATTCTAGCACTACCGCCCTGCGCGGGAAGCTAGGATGGCTAATCTCTATATCAGAAGGGAAAAAAAATTGAAATTGGTGTTTAAAACTATGAATGATCAGACTCCGGATTACTTGAAAGGCCTTTTGTTTTTAAACACTTCAGATGGACAATGGGCGTAGAAACAATGGAAAACAAATTAGCTAAGCCCGAGCCCTGTACTTATGTGAAACGTTGTTTCTGCTACAGCGGGGCGCACTTGTTTGAAAAGCCTTCCAGCTAACGTCAGAGCCACTAGATCTTTTATAAACTGTAAAAATGAGATCAGCCACCTAAATATCCTCCTCGTTCTCCTTCACGGCAAGCATGTAAATATTTTTTGTTTGTTTGTTTGTTAATTTTTATTCTCCATCTCGTAACTGATTCTTTTACGGTAAATAAAGCTCAAACCTCAGAATGCTGCTTTTGAAAACACAACTACAAGTAAGGTAAATAAAAATATAATGAAAATAATAATTGAATTTATCATTCTAAGTGTTCAATGACAACTATTTATAACACGACTTGTGTCGTGGTCTTAAACGTGTAATAAACATTTATTTTAGTAGAAATATAAACGGTTATTGAAATCAGTTTTTCCTTGCCTTATTGAACGCCAGTTGGTTCGTTTCGTCGCGATTGAACACAAACCTTGCACGAATTTTTGTTTATCATCTTCGTTATCATGGGTACCATTCTGTAGTAATTACTGTTCCCTTATCTGCAGCATCTATATATCACAGCTGAGTTTTCGAGCCTTATAAGGGTATATAATTAGCTATGATTTGGCTGGCAAAACCTAATTTATGTATCAATACATCTACATATATTTTTGTTTCCTACACGTATGTGTTGATTTATTAGATTTGTGTTCGTTTTCTTCCAAATTTGTCAGTTCTAACTGGCACATAAATCCACCACACATCAGGAGTCGTATTAAATATGAATGGTTATCTTTTCTATTGCATTTGGCATTTGTTTTGTAGACAGGATGCTTCGAATTGAAAGAGAGACAAAAGGCATTATTCATGTCACTATCATGCAAATTAGAGTGATTTTAAAGCTAGATAGTTGGGTCGAGAATTGACAGTTAAGACGGAAAATACACATTTATTTTAACAGTTTAAATATACCGAAGGTTTAAATCCCGAATCCGAACTATTTATTTCTTTATCTTTTTGGTATTTACTCGCAGAACCAAAACATCGACACCTATCAAAAACTACTACTACTTTAACTCATAAGATAAACTATGATATTGAAGCACAGTCTTTGGTTATACGTGTTAACAACATACGTATGTGGAAGGTACATTTATCATAATTGCGAAATGTGAAGTTCTGGCAAAGGTTGTGATGGTCAATTTTATCATGATAAAAGTCGGAAATGAGAGCACATTTCAAGTTTTCTTTAGAAAGATAATCGATTTTTAATATTTTGTTGTGATATGACTTTGATTTCCCTGTGTGATCTCTTAGAGGTTGCGTGTGTTTGGTGCAATCCTAATGACCTCTGTGATCGTTCCAACGTCATTGCACTACTAGCATCTGATTCGACTCTGTTCCAGTAGGTGCACCTGAAAACTTTTCGCAGTTTAGACTTCAATTCTCCACCATAAAACCCGTAAAGTAACGGATCTACCGCGGTATTAAGGAAGATCAACAGTTGAGACGCTCTCCAGATAAGTCCAGGGGAGACCAAGTAAAAATAAAGTAATGTCCGTGTGATCATAAACGGGGACCAACATAACGCAAACGCTGTGGTTAATGCGACAAGTGTCCTCGCAACTTTTTTTTGTCGATTATTTGATGTCACAATAACCGAGTCGCTTATTGGTAAAACTCTCGTATGAAGCGCTCGAAAAATATTTCTCTGCGTAAGAATCATATACAGCAACGGAAGGACGAAGAAGAATATTGCGTGAAGGCTGTAGTATACTTGTCGGCCGGTAGTTCCCCATGTTGTATTGGCGCAAACAGTTCTACCGTCTTCGTTCGTTTCGACGCGATAAATGTGCGCCAAAGGTGAACAGATGGCTAAACAAGAAACCCAAATGACAACGATTTTCATGTATTCCCTATTTGGCCAGCTTCCTACTCTAGCACTGAAGGGATCTGTGATAGCCTTCAATCTTTGATAGCTTATAATCACCAGTGTAGTGATTGAAGTTGTGTAGCTTGTTTCGATGAGGAATCCTTGAAGTTTGCAAGTGGCGTCGCCTCCAACCCAGCGCCACAGAAAGCTGACAACGTTGAAAAGTGATAAAAAAGTAAACAAGAGATCCGCAGACGCTAAATTTGTGACTAACCACATCAGAGGAAAATCATGGTTTCTCTTACGACTCTTGTAACAAGTAACCAAGACCCATATATTGCCAACGATAGATACAATGAAAACAGCGCTGTAAAATACGCAAAAGATAATAACCATAAGTGGAGAGATATTGTCGTCTGTTGTCATTGTCGATAATATATGTTGAATGACTGATTTTCCCTGTTTCAGTTGATTTTTGTACTTTGCTTCAAGATTTTCTTCATTGAGGTATTTGCCACTTGTGATTCGTTTTCTGTGTCAAGCCTTCGTTAAGATGTGAATCGAACTGTCTATTTCAGCGATCCAGTCTTCATATTCCAGCTTTAGTGTCTTTCTCTGCGTTGATCCCGTCTTTATTCTGCAACAAGATGAGTAAACAAGTGAGCAATTTTGCACGTCCGTAGAAAATCAGACTCGAGTACGGATTTATATCAAGGGGAAGCCAAGAAAAGAAAAAAAAGGAGTCGTAAATCACTTCGGGAATTTCCATTTAACATGTCACCTCATTTTTTCCGCTAATTGAAATTTCGGTCATTGTTTACTTGAATTTGGTATCAGCTGCAAATTGATTAAAAAGACGGCAAGAAAAACGATTTGTTTTTATAGTCTTTGTTCTTACCTCGAAAGAAAACTGTTACATACCGGCCCACGTAGGAGCTTTCTAGCACTCGCACGAAAAGCTAGTGACTAATGTTTGTAATTATGCCTTTGTTGTGCTGAATTTCTTTTCTTTTTTTAATTTTGTGCAGTCAGACCCCTCCCCCCACCCCCCGCCACTCCTCCCCGCTCCTCAATAAGAAACCCTGAATATGTAATGCTCGATTACGGCTGTTAACTTACTCAAAGCGCGCCAATAGCGAGTAACATCTCAGTGAGAAACGGCAGAGAAATTGTCAGTGTGTGATACAACTTCGTTTTTCAGACGCACTGTTTGGACCGCCATTTTGTCGACGTCCCTTAACCTTATGTGTTCTCTACTTTCCGCCCTTCTTCCTTTCCTTCCGCGCTACTTATATTTGAAATGCCGTGTTATCATATTTCAATCGATTTAACTGATTCCGTAATATCCAAAATAACCCAGACTGCAAGCTAAATAATTAAAGACCGTTCAGGGTTTTATGAATGAATAATTTAAATTGGCGTTGTATGTTTATATCTTCGTTGGAACTTTATTAATCGTGCAGATAACTATATAACTCTTAAGTTTACTGTTAAATTTTTTTTTCTTTTGTTTTCAAATCTTTGTGCGCAAGATGTCCCAATTTGTCTTTGGGCTCTTCACAATTGTTCTCATATTTCTTGAAGGGTTTTTTTTTCCTTCAGCTTGTTTTGTTTTCGTTTACGTCTTATCTTTCCTCGGATTAAATGATCAACAACTTAACCGTATTTGCGGTGAACGTACGAATGCAATAACAGGTTTCTCCAATGAACCACTTTTCTCAAGCGTGTGGTAGAAAATAATAAAAATAACATAAGAAAAATCAATCGAGATTTCAGAGTTTGGAGTTCATCTCGTTGTCATTCAAGTGGGTCAAATTCGTGGTTTGACTTAAAATATAGAAGGTTTTATTTAAAAAAAAAATGTATAAAATCATTTAAGGCATTACCAGGTAGGGTAAAATTGTAATTAAATTTTGAAGTAGTAAATTATACTAGTGACGAAAGCTGACTACATTCTGTGATTGACCTTTTGTCTTCGTAATGAAAATCTATGTGCTGTTTCAACAATCTCAACGGCTTGAGTCTCAAAGAAATGGGATTTTTATTGTTTAAAACTAATGACAAAATGTATTTTACGTTTTATGGCACAGACTCTATTTTCGCAACAAGGGCGGCACAGTGTTTATTTGGAGGCAGGTGTTGTCACAACTGTACTTACAAACTTGAAGATTAATTGTAAACAAAAGCACTTAAAATAATTTACTTTCCTTGAAGCTTGAGGAAACTCGCAAACCACTGCTGGTAATTCAACTAAAGAGAATCACAGGTTGAAATTGGTCATTTTTGTTTTCTATTTAGGTTTGGACCTCACTTGCGACACGAGCATCGTAAAGATAAATACAAGCTTTCAAAAACGTAACTCCGTTGCAGTAGGTCGCTTTATGCCTTAGTGGAAACGTCTAGAAACTACTTAATTATGAGTGCCGTGGAGTTCGAAATAATAATACCTGTATACGCAATAATCATAAGAAAATGATGGATCAAGTTCTTATAATGATTATGTCTGCGCTTACAAATGTTTTCTTTTTTCGTGGTGGAAAAGTAAAAATGACATAATCATAATCATAAAACCAATGTTTTTGACTAATTTATGGATTTCGTGTGGGGTCTATTTGGAAATGGTGAGTTGAGTGGGACTGAGTGGGACAACAAGGGCTTTGCTTGGCTTTTCGCTTGTAGAAAAGACGTAATCATGATCATTGCTGCGAGCGTCGAGTAAAGCAGGATTGTTTCTCGACAGAACTATGGATAGTCGGTTACAGCAATTTAACAAACTGGTTTATTTCATTACTACTCGGTTTACAGCACTAAGCTTCATTACATTTTCAGAGCTTTCCTACGGACAAAACTCACGCTGTTATAGGTTAAGATACACCTTGAGATTCCAGAAACGTCTATATAGAAATAATTAAATTGTGCATTATTACAATATATTAAGATTAGAACATTTCAGGAGAAATGGATCATTCCAGAAGGTTATAGTTCACGTTTAAGTGAGTTCGGGTCCAGAGTGTTCTTGGGTTCATTGAGACAGTTTTCTATATTTATGTATTTCGTGGTTATCCATCTGAAAATTGGAAGTTTTAACTTCAAAGGGACAACAAAGGTTTTGTCCGATTTTTCCTAGTAGAAAAGTAAATCTTAATGGCATAATCAAAATAATAAAGCCAATGTGTTCTGAGCAATTTATGAAGTTTGTTTCAAAATGGTGAATTTTATCTTCAAAGGGTCATCAAAGGTTTTGTCGGGTTTTTCCTAGTAGAAAAGTAAAATCTTAATCATGTAATCATAACAAAAGAGCCGATTTAATCCGAGTAATTTATGTGTTTTATTTGAAAATGTCGAGTGACAACAAGCCTGTAAGGATGTGGTTCTGCATGTAGCAGTGCTCACGATTATATACAGTCTGACCGTGTGAAAGTAATCGACAGAGGCATCTTTCAGCTAAGCAAACGAGGAAATCCACTGCAATCATTGGGCGCAAACTAGTAATCCAGCTATAATATCAATTCTATCTTAAATGAATCAAAGACAACACCTCTTTATGCTAACAGCTTTTCAATTCTAGCTACCAAGATATGTAGCCCAAACGTGCCTGAACTCCGTGCGTCTGCGTTACCCGGAAACACAACATCATTTCGATTCTCGTTGTTTTCTTTTGTCTTTTCCTCCCTGGGGGATGGTTCTCTCAGGCCCCAGTTATATGGTCTCGGGTACCCGAGACAACCCTACCCCCGAGGCAACTTTAGCTAGCGTTTATATGTGAAAACGTAGTGTCTGTATGCCGGGTCACAGTTGACCCTGCATGATTATTCAAAACCCATATTGAATAATCAAATGTGCAAATATCCCTCTTTCGTCGAGTTTCCCTCGGTCATTCGATCACAGTGGGTTTTGCCGAGTTCATTTTCACTTCTTTGATACGAATTTCTGCTTTAAATCCCCATCTAGGCATTACGTGACACTCGCCACGCTGAGAGTTGTCCCGGTCAGGCGAGCCAAAGCGTTTATATGAAAAAAAAAAATTTGACCCGCTCGCCAGGGTTACCCTACCTGCCGAGACGAGACAACTCGCCCACCCGAGTTGTCTTGCCCCCCGAGACGGGTTCGCGATCCTAATGTAAACGGTTGGTTAAATTTTGCAAAAAAATAAGCTAAAAGTTACCTCGGCCAGAGGGTTGTCTCGGGTACCCGAGAACATATTATATGGGGCCTCAGTCTTAAAATTTTGCTGCGGAGCACGCTGTGAAAAAAAGTGTGAGAAAAAACCGGAATCAGAGTTCAAAACCAAATTAGCAAAATAGTAAAGAAAACAAACTCCAAAACTAGGCGGCAATCTAAAAGTGAAACAAAATATTAAAATCCACATGAAGGTAAATAGGCCATTTCCGAGTTGGCTTTTGCCTCTGTGTCAGAACGAGTCTTCGTGCGAAAACGATTGATATGGAATTGTGTTTGAGGTTCATTTTCTTGTGAATCAAACTCTTTTTCATACGAAAGGTTTTGCACGAGGACCCGTTTTGAAATAGAGACACAAAAAATACGAAATCTGAAAAAAGCATTTAAACGTAAACTGTCAGACATAAATTCTATTTTATTGGTATTATTTATACACAGTTTAATTGAGCCATTCTCATTTATAGGTGATCAATTCTTTTGAGACATGCAGCTCGTTAAATGGCTAATTCTTTGGTAACGCTGAAGTGATTTTCTCATTTTAATTAACAACAGATAATTACTCAAGCTTCGCTGATTGTGAATGTTATAAGATATGGTTTCTCTTTGAACCTATCTTCAATCATGAACCCTGATTGGGGTTCACCAATACCAGCAGCAATACCAGAGTTGTTGCTCAGCTTTTGAAAGCTGAGCAACAACTCTGACAACGAAAACGCATTCACCTATTAGTAGTAATTTCAGAAAGCACCTAATCTGTCCACCGTCGTTCCTTTTTTCCTCTTATTTTTCTTTTTAAAGGCGAGCGACCCATTCCCACTTTTGCGCTCGTTCAATCCCACGAAGTTACTATTCGAGTTTGCTCGCGCCTTCGACGATCTTCGAGAAAACAGAAAGCCTGTTAACAGTAGACATCACCTCAAGTGGCGAATGGTTACTATCATTTTCATCTCCTTATAATATCTTCATCGGTTGCTAATATCGAAAAAAAGGGCCTAGTATTTTCAGCAACCGTGACCGTGTATTCTCGGTATATAAATTGCATCTTCTTGTACTTAGGTACTCAAGACCGTGTCCGTGACCAGATTTTTAAACACGTGCACCTCGAAGTTCGTCCAAAATACTCTGCTACTCGTCGTATTTTAACTCGCTTCTCGTTGTTTGTAGTCAGATGCGTTCTTCCATGTTTGGTGATGTCTTGCCTCTTGTACTTGATCATTTGTCAACCAGTTCCAAGACATTTAAATCGTAAACTTGTTCTACATGTACGATGTCTGTTCTTTGCCTCTTTCGTTTTTCTCTGCCAAAAGTCTCCTTCCGTGTGGATGGTTGAAAATTCGTACACTTGAATAAACCCAGAAGATACCGTTTGAAATTTGCCCCGTAGATTCCGTACAGTATGGGATCTAAGGCCGTGTTCAAGAGAATTAAAAGTTGGGACGCCCTCCAGATGTAACCACCATCGGTGAGGTGAAAATACATCAGCGTTCGCACCACCACAAATGGTGACCAGCAAATTGCAAACGCCACCGTTAAGGCGGCTAAAATCCTCGCCACTTTGTGATGGCGTTGGACGGTGCACCCTGTTTCAAGGGAGTTTTGTGTTGGAAAGACGCCCGAGCGCAACGATAGAAAAATGTTCCACTGGGCATAAATCATGTAGATTAGAGGAAAGATGAAGAAACAAACTGCATGGATACTGTAATAAATCTGTCGTCCCATGTCTCCGAATTTGATGTTTGTGCAGAACACCGTACCACTGGCATCCACTTGAGCTTGATAGGCATATAGCAATGGCGAGGCGATAATGATGCTGCTTATCCACATGGCGATCAGCTTGCGATGCGCGCCTTCTGTGGTAATGAATCTTACACTGAAGGGCTCGACCACGGCCTGGAGGCGCTCGAAGCTTATAAGAACAAGAGTCATTATTGAAGTGGTGTAGCACGTTTCGATAACAAAACTTTGTGCTTTACAGGAGAATTGACCGCCAATCCAGGTCCATAAAAAGTTGATCAGATCCAATATGCTCAGGGTGGTAAATGCCAGGTCTGCAACAGCCAAGTTAGCGATGAACCATTTCAGCGAACATGGTGGTCTTTTTAATTTGAAACATAGACAACGGACGAATGAGTTCCCCGCGATTGATAGCAAGAACACCAAGAAGTAAACACACGTGAATGTTGCAACTATTGCTATAGGAAACCCGTCACTTGTTGCCATAATTTTTCGCCCAATCTCTGATATCTGCTTTTCTTTCTTCCCAAGAACAGAAAATGATTACGTGCATTGAATTTTTAATCAGTCGGTCTGTCTATATCTTTATTTGTGGTTTTGGATGATTTCACTTTCGCAGAGTTGGTGATAAACTGCGGAAGAATCCCCCTTTCTCCAGCTATAAACAAAGAAAATATAAGTGGAATATCGTACAATTCGATGCCTGTCTTGCTAGCATAGATCAAGGACAACGTCGTAACGTTCCTGAAGTCACATCAACTGATTTCTTTTACCCTGAGGAGATCGAAGGTCTCGTTTATGCCACCGACAAGTCCAGTTTTAAAAGTTAATAAGCCTTTGTCTGTTTTTAGGTAAGTTTCGACCGTGCAGCTGGGTCCACAAATTCATAAAGAAAACGATAGTTCCTCGCTGAGTTTATTTTTAGACTGGATATATCATAATTATAATTAAAATTATTCAGCATAAACGTTTTGTTCCTAAATAAGGTGTTCCAGTAAATCGTGATAGGTGAGTTTGCATATCTGTGGCCATTGACCCTTGACTGGCCGCCGTACGCGATTCGCCTAATTCAAAATATTCATGTCGCCTTTCAAATAGATCTTCAATTTAACTAATTTGACCATTTTGTGCAAATGTTTGAGAGAAATTTACTTACCAGCAATCTCGTCCGGAAGGTATGAAAGTACTATCGCAAAAAGGTAATTTTAAATTGCTACCTATGAGTTCTTTAAATTTCTTTGGCCGGATGAAAACAAGTTATTAACTTACCTGTTATTCCATTCTTCAAAGACTATACTAAATTTGGCAATTTGAATATTGCTTTATTCTCGGGGACAGCTGTATTAACATTGAGGTTTTTAAATTTCAGTTTAAAACTACCTGAATTAAATTTGTCCTTAAGGTTTGGCGAGAAAAAAAAAGTCCTTTTTTTTTCAAGTAAGCGATCAAAACTTTGGACATTTTCATCATGTCCTTTTCCTTACAAGGGAAATAGAATCAAAACGATCAAAACTTTGGATAGTTTAATCGTGCATATTTATTATCCTTGAAAACAGCCAGAGCAGTTTATCTATTAGGTAGATAAATGCGAGTTGGTCTCATACTTATTTCTCCGGGAAACAATCTGATATCACTCGACTTAACTGTGCTTTTATGCTGTTTCCTCCTTTTATACTTATTCTTTGAATTCTATACAGTATTGAAAGTCCATTTCGTCAGCACATACTAAGAAAACAGCATGTGCACATCCTCAATAGTCTTCTGCACCTCTCTGCAAATGTGTTAATGAAAACATTATGTTATCCAATCACAGGCTTATATAAAGCACCAACCATATGCAATCAGTAAAACGTGATAACTGCGGACTTAACATTAACGATAACTGCCGACTTATCATAAATGGTAGCTTTATGTTTAAGTTATTTTGCAACTCAAATAAACTCAGCTGGAAAAATCCTCAAAATTGGCGTTTTCTTAAGGATACACAATTACCCTGTAGGTGGACTGAAACAGATCAGTAACCCTCAAGTGAAAGAACAAAAAGAAATGTCAAACTTAAGTTAATTACATTCACAGTGTCTTTTTTTTTTCTTGCTGGGTAAGCGCTTGTTTTCTTCATCTGATAGCAGTCTTTTTTGAACCTCGTTCCCCTAGCATTCAAAAACAAACCATATGTGTTGCTGGCTCTTAAACCGTAATGTAAGTTTCCAAATCAGAATGCTTTGACGCGGTAATTGCCTCTATTATTTTTCGTTAACTCTATTTCGCAAGTATGTTGTTGCCAGCTGTATAAAATGTCAACCATCAAAACTGAAAAACTTTCAGGTTCTGTAAAACCTCCTCTTTCCAATAAATATAAGTCAGAATAAAAATTTTGCAACTTCTTATTTTAGCGTATGTAACATCGTTCATAATCTGAACTGTGTTAAATGTAGTTAGCAACGTTCGTTGACTTCGATGAAGATAACAAATCCTACTATTCTCATTCTAATGCGACTGTCCTTCATCAGCGTTTTGCTGGCGCAAAATATCACCTCAAGTTTTGCGGTATTCAGTGTTGTGGACCAAGATACGTTCATGTATTTTCACACTATGCTAATTTTAATGTTATTTTGAATAACCCAAGTGCTATACCAAACAAGCAGGTCGGTTTTATGTACAGTTTTGATCCTATTTGGAGTGCCAGCGACACTGGTCACAGATATTTGGAACGGAATTCCTCGTAATGAAGGCTTAAGATTTTCACCGTAAAATCCCATACAATATGGGATCTAACGCGGCATTGAGACAAATCAAGAGCTGAGAAGATGTCCAAATGAAATTAAAAGAAGCCATGTGAAAATAAATGAGAGTTCGAGTGATCATAAACGGAGACCAGCATAGCACAAACGCTATGGTTAAAGCGGCAAGTGTCCTCGCAACCTTCTTGTGTCGTCGATTATGGTTCATAATAAACGAGTTCCCCATTGGCAAAACTTTAACTCTGGAATACAGGGCACGCCGAATTTGAAATTGTGTAAAAATCATATAAAACAAGGGAATAGCAAAGAAGAATATTGTGTGCAGACTGTAGTAAATTTGTCGACCGGGTGTTCCCCATGTAGCATTACTACAAAGTACGTCGCCGTTTTCGTACGTTTCGACGCGGTAAATGTGCAGTAGAGGTAAACAGACGGTTAAGCAAAGGCCCCAGATGATAAATGGTTTATAGTGATCTCTGCTTGGCCATGCCCTAATCCTTGAGTTGAAAGGATCCGTAATGGCCTTCAGTCTTTGACAGCTTATCACCACAAGTGTGGTGATCGAAGTTGTATAGGTAGCTTCAATAAGGAATCCTTGAACTTTACAAGTGATGTCACCTCCAACCCAACGCCACAAATAGCTAATTGCGTTTAGAAGTGTGAGTAAAGTAAACAAAAGATCCGCAGACGCTAAATTTGCCACCAAACATTTAAATGGAGAATATCTTTGCCTCAGTGTCTTGAAGCAAGTTGACATGACCCATGTATTACCAAAGGTTGACAAGATGAAAACAGTGGTATAAAATATACAGAAGAAAACAAGCATAAGTGGAGAAGAACTGTCAACGGCTGCCATCTTCGACCGTGCATACAGAATATCTATTACAAATTCCTATCTATGTTAATTTTTTTCTTGGTTAATTAGAATAAGACATAAGATTTTCTTGGAGATATTGGCTACCTTGTAAATCCGAGTTGAAATAAAAGTTGATCTATAAATGTTTGTATTTTTTACATTTGGCGTAAAACTTCAGTCCTTCAGTGCCATTTCTTGTCGACGGCTCAACTGCTTCTCAAGTTTTCAAAAGTTGAAGTGTCTCCCGATGTTTGAAGATTATTTACTGAACCCGGTTCTGATAACAAATATTTTTCACCTTGTTGTAATGTTGCAGACCCTTTTTTTTTGCATTTCAGTTGTAGTAAAACTTCAGTCCTTCAGTACCATTTCTTGTCGACGGCCTGAACTGCCTCTCAAGTTTTGGTTCTGTCCTCGTGTACCGGTTCACAAGAACCGATACAAAAGATCCAACAATATTCAGCAGCTAAACAAAGGTTCGTAAAGAATGGAGTACAATGGTTATTCCCTCTGTGTACCGGTACACCAGGACACAACCCAAGTTTTCAAATGTTGAAATGTCTCCCAATGTTTGAAGATTATTTACTGAACCCGCTTCTGATCACAAATATTTTTCACCTTGTTATAATGTTGCAGTCACGTTTTTTTTTTTTTTTTTTTTTTGCATTTGTCGTAAAACTTCAGTGCTTCAGTGCCATTTCTTGTCGACGGCTGAATTGCTTCTCAGTACCATTTCTTGTCGGCGGCTGAACTGCTTCTCAAGTTTTCAAATGTTCAAATGTCTCCCGATGTTTGAAGATTATTTACTGAAACCGCTTCTGATCACAAATATTTTTCACCTTGTTGTAATGTTGCAATCGCGTTTTTTTTTTTTCACATTTGGCGTAAAACTTCCGTCCTCCAGAGCCATTTCTTGTCGACGACGACTGAACTGCTTCTCAAGTTTTTAAATGTTCAAATGTCTCCCGATGTTTGAAGATTATTTACATGTACTGAAGCCGCTTCTGTTCTTTCTCATTTTCCGCAAATATTTTTCACCTTGTTGTAATGTTACAGGGCTTTTCTTTCAATAGAAAGAAAAATTTGGAGAGTATTTGAACTTAAGCGTTAGCTATTGGCCAAGAGGAATGAGAGCCGGTAAAAGAAAGTAATTCCAAAAAAAAACTGTTGGTTTTTCCTCTGAACAGCTTTCCTGCTTTCCTTAATTGCACTTATGTTGCGTTAGTATTTACTTTTAACTGCATGTGTAAAATGCAAATGCCAGCTTGCAATGAATCGTATCGAATAACATCTAACACTGAAATGAAGGCAGAACTTTATGTTGTCAGTAGCACCGTGGATTGATTTACCTTAACAATGATTCTTTAGTACTAGAAAAAAAAAATAAAATCCACTACCCAACGAGGTTAAGTTTTACTCATGTCGAGCGAAAGCACCAGCAAGGTAATTAAAGTACACGAAATTAGCTTTGCCGATGGGATTTAGGCCAAACTGAAATCACCTAAACATGCAGATTTTGCCTAGTCTAAGTTTTCATTTTACCTGGTGTGATAAGCTATTTCATTTGAAAAGATTTCTCTCAGGGGGTATTCATGTGAATACTCTTGGCCTAATGAGTTACAGAACCTTTTGCTGTATCTTTCCTTACGTTGGTCAGATCGAAATTTAATTACTATTGTTTTTCCAAAAGCATCTGTACTCAATTAAGGGAGAACTCCTCAGAAATAAATATTAGGTTTTCCTTCACTTTTAACACCTGGTCTAAGCCCTTGTTGACAATGGAAATTTTAATACCTTTTTATGCTTATGAAAGTAAAGTGCAGTCAATTGTTTTAGCGTAGCTGTATCCACAGTGTAAGAACCATTCGCAAAATGATAGAAAGTGTCTTGATTGCCGCCTCGAGAGAACGTGTCTTCTGTTGCTATGGAAATCCTGCTTTACTGTGGCGTTGATATTGATGCCCAGTGTAATTAAAGATGTCTTTTTAGAGGAAGTGTTATCGCCGACTTTTTTTTTTTTTTTTTTTTTTTTGAACTTCATCTTAGGCGTTGCATATATCCTGCTTGCTTCAGATTTACTAGGAACAACTTGACGTGCACTGCAACCTGCATGCAATTTAATAGTTGACCACAAAATGCAGCACCATAGAGGTGAGGCTTTCCTTATGGAGGGCAATGGTTAAAAAATTAATTCTGCTATTAAAGCGCAAGCTTAAAGCTCATGAGAGAGCCTTCATGAAGTTTTGCTGTTGTTGCGGTCACACTGTCAGTGCATTTACCGAATGCAGTCTACCCAAACGAGGTTGTCTGAACTCTGTCGACGCGTCGATGATAACATAAAATATAATTCTTGCGGAGGAGGGCTCTTCGCAATGAAGACTTCAGATTTCCACCGAAAAAACCGTATAACAGCGGATCCAGAGCGGCATTGAGAAAAATTAAAAGTTGAGACGCTCTCCAGACGAGTCCAGGAGAAGCCATGTGAAAATAAATTAGTGTTCGAGTGATCATAAAAGGAGACCAACATAACACAAACGCTATAGTTAAAGCGAGGAGTGTCTTTGCAGCCTTCCTGTGCCGTTGATTTGATCTCTTCATAAACAAATTACTTATTGGTACAACGCTTCTTCGGAGAGTATGAAAAATACGGCATTGCGTTAGAATAATGTACAGCAATGGAATAGCAAAGAAAAAAGTCGTATGCAAACTGTAGTATATTTTTGGAATTGTGTCTCCCCTCGCTTTTGTAATGCAAACCACTTCATCGTTCTTGCTCGTCCCCACGTAGTAAATGCGCAACAAAGGCGAACAGACGGCTAAGCTCAAACCCCAAATTATGACTAGTTTTGTGTATTCCTTGAGTGGCCAAATTCTTGTTCTAGCGTTAAAAGGATCTGTGAGAGCTTTTCGCCTTTGGTAACTTATAATCACTAGTGTGATGATTGAAGCTGTGTAGCTCGCCTCAAGAAGGAATCCCTGTAGTTTACAAGAGCTGTTGCCGCCTACCCATTGATGAAAATAGCCGACAAAGTTGAAAACTGTAAGAAGTGTAAAGGAGAGATCCGCAGACGCTAGAGTAGCTAATAACCACATAAACGGAAAGTGTCTTCGTTTCAAAGTCTTATAACAGGTTACCAGAATCCATGTATTTCCAGCGGTCGATAAAATAAAAACAGTGGTGTAAAACGCAGCGAACAAAACCACGATGAGAGTAGAAAAATTGTCACTGATTGCCATCGCCAATAATCTTGGTTATGATTCAATAATTTTCCTCCTTGATTTCTGTATGTGATGAAGGTTCTTGTTTCCCGTTTAAGATTTCGACCGTAGCTAATATCATATTCTAATATACTAGCACAAATGTCAACAGTTCATTTCATTCCGCAAACTGTATTGATTTCACTTCGTTCTCGTTCGACTGATTATCTCAGGGGTGTCCTGCATGCTTTGTCTTCAGAAAAAGAAAACAAAATAATGATATCTACTCACTAAGATTGACCGGAAATCATAATAGCGTAAGAATTATCAACAGTTGTGGGAGCGACTTCTGGTTTCACGGTTTAATGTACATTTTTCCTGTTTTCTTTACAAACAGTCTTGAACTTTTTATTATTTCTCGCTTTTTCATTTACTCTTTGTCAGCTTTACGTTGATCTTGACATCCGCAAGCTTATTTTATTTTCATAAGACTTTCATTTGGCCTCACATAGCACTCTTAATTTATTTTTGACAAAAAGGCGTCTCGTAGAGACGGTCTTCAGGAGAAGTCTTTGTTACGTCTTTAAAGAAGCAACTTTTTTATTTTAAATTGAATTTAAAACTTTCTTGCCCCCCGATGTCTAATGAACATTCATTGCACCAAGCCTTCAGCGACATCGATGTTCTTGAACACAACTATTTGGGAAGAGTTCATTGAGTTTAAGTATATTCTTAGTATGTTGTTGGATATCCACTTGACTGACTTTTTTGTTTTCAAAACGATAAGGTAGCTGGCACCCAAAATTCAGTATGAAGTGATCCTCAAAGTGCTCATTATTGTGAATTTTTACTTTTTTGTTTAAAAATGACACCTTGTCTCTTGTTTACTTAACGCCAATAATGCTTTCTTGATGACAGACGCGCATAGAACTCAACAACTGTGATTCGAAGTCAGCGAGAGAGCGGAAAAATGATGGTTTCGTACCATGATTTTTTCCCTCTTTGTCGCTAGTAAAACAGTTATAAGTAATATTTTTTGTATTACTTTCCTGAGTGGGTGCACTGAGCTTAGTATAACGGCTTCGTATAACGCACTCTGCGATTGACTGCATAATATAAAGGGTTCAACAACATCTTGAACTCACCTCGAGTAAATACAGCTTGCAAAGGAAAAAAGTAAAATTTTCAAACACAGTGGTATAGCACAGGTTTATTAAATCATTCATCTGAAAGGGGCTTTATATCAATCACTAAGCAAACTTTAATTTACCATGATATGGTCTCCAGACAAGACAAAGCACATTTGTTATGTATAAAAAGTTAGTTCTATCAAGGATTTTTCCTCTAAATTAATAAATGAATCGAACACACTTGTAATGTTCGTTACGGCCAATTCCCATGTATGCAACTGGCCGTAATTTTGCACTGCCTTTTGAAAACAACTTACGTCAAGCGGAAAGGAAAAGACAAGGTTAAATACAAGCGGTCCAGTGAGTCTTTGATTTTCAAACCTCCAAGAAAATATTATGCTTTCCTCTCACCCAAAACAGATTCACGAAACCTAAAAAAAAAACTGAAAAAAGATTCGCTTAACCTACAATTACAAAGTTGTACATCTGGAATCGACAAGAAAGAGAGAGCAATAAAAACATGCAATTTACTTATTCAAAAATAATCCTGACCGGCCAGTTTAGACGATGGATTATTCATAACAGCTGAAAAACAATACCTACAGATCTTTTTATTATTTAGTAACGTCAGCAAGCTATAAGTTGATCTGATACTATACGCACTTGTTACTAAATAAAGATGTATTTTGAAGCAAACAGCAATTACTGTCGACAATTTGGATTTCATTTTGTCCACTGCATTTGTAAACATTTTGCATTGAAAGCTACAGGTGCATTTTTAAATTTTTGTTTTAAGCGATATTTCCGTACGTTTATATGCCGAATACGAAAGAGAAATGGTCACCTTCAGCTATTCAAATGCTTCTGTAAGGGTTCGTTCCTTTGGGTTGATTCGGAGCAGGATCATTGATTCAAGAGTTGCAAGATCACCGGATCATGATGCTTCAAAGGAACCATTAAATCCTTGCCAAGCGTAGACTCATCGGTTCCTTTGATGCACAACGATCTTGGATCATTGATCCTGATCAAAAAAAACTCAAGACTCTATTTATCCACGGTGAGATTAAAGCTATAAGCTTATGGGGCCGTACACTAAAATAGAAGAAAAAATAACCTACTATTACAATTAATTCAAAAATATGTTCTAAAAATCATACAATTAAACCTTCTATCCACAATTAGCAAATCTTCTTTTTACCGTCCCTTTCTCCC